AACAGATCATTTCCCAACCTCTACTGGAACCAGGAAGAGTTTTAGATAAGGATCAAATTCATCTATATTTCTTTTCTTAACAAGTCAAGGACATTATTTGTGCTTTTCTATGCACTCAGGACAAAATGTCACCTTGCAACCAGAGACCAGCAACAGCAAGACCAGTGTTCCCATCCAGCGAGTCCACGAGCCATGAAGGAGCAGTGTAGAGGCCTTACCTGTTGCAAAGTAACAATAAGGAGGCAGGAGGGTTTCACCTTGCTCCATAGGTTTGGGAATATGCTCAGCCAGCACTCTGCTAATGAGTAGGTGATACAGCAGCTGTGCTTGCCAGCGCTCCCAGATTGCTGCTGGGATCTCTGGCTGAGGCTTTGCAGTTTAACTGGACTGCAAATTCACCAACTCCTTGTATTTGTGCAGATAACTCTCCTTCAGGTTGTAGAAAACATATTTGGCTGTTACCTCAACGCAGGGGCTTTGAGCAGTGCTTCCCAACATGGCAGTGGATACCAGTGTTCAGAATAAAAACACAACAGAGATCAAGACATTATTTTACTAGGAATAGAGATTCACAAATTTCACAACTATCTCAAGTAATAACAAGTCAGGGGGTTTATGAGAGGATGGGGGGACACATTTGTCACCCCAACTGTATCTGAACACCAGCACTGCCAGTCCTAACGAGATACCTGCTTTGCACTCTACAAGTGTATAACTTGTTGGGGTTACTCATGGTAACTGATTACATGAAGGTGAGCCCCAAATTGGGGGTGTTGTGTTCCTGTATATCCCAACAAGGCCTCCCACGGGCAAATCAGCAGCCTGTTAACTCTCTGTGGAGCCTGTGTTCCTGTACAGGCACCTGAATTGGACACCTAGAGCCAGTCAGCATGAGTACCTCCATCTTCCCTGGCAGCACTCACAGGTACTCTGCAAAAATGTGCTCAAGTAGGTCAGGCATCAGCAGCATCCTTTTGTGGTAAAGGCTCCAGCCTGGCATTCTGAGTTAGACACAGATGCTCATCCCCTGCCCAGCCTGCCAGAGCTGACAGCTACTCCTGGAGCTCGAAAGGCACACAAGGAACCATTTTCTGCACAAAGCACAACCAGAAATCCTCAGAGCAGGGAGAGCTCTCTTGCAAGCTTCAAAGAAGAGCTGCAGTCCTGGCTTATGCACAGTAAGAGTCTAGAGCTCTTCAGTTAAACTTCAGGGGTGGTTTTTTTGTTGGTTTGGGGTTTTTTTTTTACCTCCCCTAGTGAACCAGGTCTATTTGACACCATATTTATTTTGAATAAACAGCTGTTAATTCCTCCATGCAGCACAATCCCTGCCTCACTCAAGCACTTTTTTTATTGCAGGACACTCTTTATCACATTCCTACCTAGTAGTTGTTCAGAATAATTTTACTTTTAATATGGCCATGGATAAGATTCCTTTTTTCAAGGCCTTCAGAATCAAATCTAAAACAACTTCTGACCAGAATAGTGTAACCAGTTTCTTGTATTTTAAGTTTTAGTCTGTTTTCATTTCAGTAGCAGAATTGTTTGGGGGAAGGGGGAAATAAAATGTTTGAGTTTAGTCTTTCTACATTGGGAACTTTTTTCAATTCTTCTGTAAAAATAACTCAGTAACTATCACAATTTGCACAGAAGCTCAGATTTATTAGTGCATAAGTCTTGAAAACATCACTGAAGTAAGGGACAGTGATTAAGAAAGGTTTCTATCAGATGCCAACAATGGAATCAAAGACCCATATGAGTGTGTCTGAAGTTTACCTAAGTGATAGCTGACCAAACATTTTTGTTTTGTCACACACAGATCTCCAACACTTAAAATTAGGAAAGTCTTCTCATTCCCCGAAACCATTTGCTTTGTTCGTAGGTTATTTATAAGATTTAAAAAGGTGTGGATCAGTTTTCAGAGATCTAAGGATTTCAGTAAGATTTTTCCACCCCAATTTCAACCCCACTTCTATCAAGCTCAAACTACCACCTAAACTTCATGATGTTCATGAAGACTTTTTTTCTTCCTAAAACTGTATTTGGCAGTTTTGATAGTTGCCAAACTACACTTGCCAAACTATTTAAAACCCTTATTTTCAATACTGTTATTGGAAACAGCCAGTTTCTGTGTAACATCTACTTTTACACTAAAATAGCAAGAGCTGTATGAGCAAATGTAAGCAGTCTGAATCATCACCTCCATCTTCCTGGGTTTTATTTTTGCAGTACCCTGTGCTGTGAAACAGCAATATACTATTTCCCCCAATTATACAGAGGGTCAGATGATATTTAACTTGCTCTGTGTTGCAGGTGATATTTGAGTTCAACCCAAATACCCCATGGCCCAAACTTTAAGGTGTGTATTTTTAACTAGGCATCAAAAGATTCAAACCTTTTTGGCAGGAGGTTGAAAATACTCATTTTAAGAAAAGCTTCATGATGAATGTATTTCTATTATTAGTCACAAGCTGTTCTCTGAAATTCAGAGATATTGGAATTACTTGCTAGTCTGCAGAGTGAAAACTGACACTGCTGTGATGGTGATGTTAGCAGTCACGTTAGCAGGCTGGGCTGTCTTTTGAGTCCTGAGCTAGAGAGGTATGCATATAAAAGAATCCAAAGATAAGCATGCACTATTTTAGAAGAGGTGATATATATTGCACTGCATACACACACATAAAAATAGCTCCCATAGCTGGATGACCCTGTCTGTAATGAAATACCAGGCTCTTTTGAGCAGCTAGTGAAAACATAACTTCCTTAGCCTCCTGACCTTCCTTTAAAAATAACTTTGAAACATTTTGTTGATCTATAAAAGAACAACATAGCATCTCACACCTATGAGTTATTGATCTCTTTTTCTAAAATTAGGGACCTCTAACCTAGTGGCTAATATAGCACTTGGAAAACTTGTTGCCAGGTAATTTCAAAGGCAGCTGCCTAAGCTGTGGGGACTTGTCACTGGTTTGCCTGCAGTGGATATTAACCACTAATCAATGTATAAAATGACAATAAACAATTACAGAAAAAAACAGAATAAAAACCTATGGGTCCCTCCATGAAAAATAAATATCAAAAACCTAGTAATCCTGTCAAAACATAACACTTGCAACCTGTTGACCCACTCAGGAAAGTGTTTAAAAATTTCACATAAATTCCCATGTAATATTCCTCTTTTCCCCAAGGCTGAAATTCCAGCCTGGTAACCTTGGAGGAGGTACCTTTTAATTAGAGCAAATCAGCTTTCCCTCTTGAAATATTACCTGACATCAGTCATGCCATCTGATAATCTGCAAGTAATTTAAATAAATCAGTGTCTGTGTCTGAGTTTTTCCTCTGCACCAAAAAAATCTCCACTGTCCTCCTCCATCTTCTACTATGTTCAGTTATGAAATTAAGACTACTCACCTGCAAAAACTGTGCCCTGCATGTAAAGTCACAAATACTCTACATGTAACTGGACTCTGAGAATTCATAGGGGATGGAAACTGGACTAAAATGTGAATAATCTCCTACAGGTACTGTAAAAACCTTCCTAAGTTTATAGTGCCTTAGTGGCAGTAGGTACAGGAAAGAGTACCCTGTACAAAACAGATTCATAAAGGAGCCTATGTCTTAAAAGTGGAAAGCTGTCATTTTAAATCATCTGGAAATTGAATTAGCACATACTGCTGGAGATTAGCTGTCATTTATAAAGATACTATCTGGGCTGAAAATGCAAGGAAATTAAAGATATTAATTGTCTTCCTTTAAATTAGCTCAAAAAATTGTCAAAAGAAAGGCATTTCCATTAAAAATAAGGTACTTTTTACTAATAGTGGAGAATTCAGATAGGCACAAGCTTGCCAGACTCTTCTAAAGAGCAAATTGCAGTTTGTCTCAACAAAAATAAAGAACTGCACCTGAGGATCATTAGCTACTTGATCATAAACAAGGGGTTTTTTGATCATCAGTTTGCAGCAGCTTGCTTTTTTCCTGGAGTTTGATCTCCTTATTACTTATGCTTTGCACAATATTAGGAAATAAAGGTGCTTGTCTCTTTTTGGAAAAAGACTTTGACTCTCAGTTTCTGCATCAAGCTTAAAACTCCACAGATAGAGTTAAAACTTGGAGGCAGGTTGTTGCTGGCAGACTGGCTGTCCTCTCGCTCCCATTTCCATGAGCTCAGTACAGGCTTTTATACCTATTCCAGTGCTCCTGGCCCATATTTCAGCCTCATGTGAATTAATACAAAGGCTAACTCGCAAATTTGCAGCAGCTTTAACTTGGTATTAGATAACTGAGGAGGAGAGAACAAGGAAGACTTCCTAGTTTAAATTAAACACCTTCCTTTGGTCCCCAAGCCTGTGTTATGCCAGCCAAGAAACACACACAGAAAGCACACTCCTCAGGACAGGAGGCAACTTCTTCATGGTAAAGATTTAAGTACAATGCTATTAAACAGAGAAAAAGAATGCAAACATCAGGCACAATATGGTTCAGCCAAACTGCTCTTGAAGGGGAACACCACTCCAGGCATTCAGTCAAATGACAACCTCCATATCCCATTATCCTCCTGAAATCTAATACCAATTTACAGCCCAAGGCCAAAAAAAAAAGTTAACCTCAAGATTTTACAGATCCTAGCACAACAGGGCTCTGAACTTGGTAAAGGTCCCTAGTGCCTGCTACTTTCATACAGCTAATAATTTAATAAAAGCTGCCTACAACTACCTATTTTTTGCCTCCAGAAGCAGTTGGAGAAACCAATGGATTCTGTAACTTTCCCCCCCCCTCCCCTTTTCTTCTTTCTTTTGGAAAACAGCCGTTTGGCAGAACAGAGACAGTGAATGGGATTTTCTCCAGGATCATGACCCGGAGCTGATCAAAGAAGAGAAACGAGAAGAAGTGGAGGAAGAGATCAGAGTGCAGGTGTGCTTACAATAGTAAGAGGACACTAATAATGTGCATTGCCTGTGTATAGTTCTCTACAGCTATAAGAACTGGCCTTGGCATAGACCTCACCTCCTTCCAGAGTCCCTACTGTGCTTTTTTGCTTTAACTCTTGCTTAGCTGAACATTTATCCGAGATGCAGTGGCAGAAGACTTGAATTCAACTGTGTTTGTCTGGATAGGTTGATGCGTTGATGCAACAGAAACTGGAGAATCTCAAACTGGCTGTGGATGGAGAGAAGAGTAGCCCACAGAAAAAAGGAAGAAAGAGTGACAAGGTGAGAGCAGCAAGTTGGGAGAATTCAGAGTAAATATCAGTTCTCTGCCCAGATACAGCAGTTTAAGCTTCACAGATACCAATATCAAAATACCCACCCTAAACATTTACTGAATCTTAAGTCAGAAGCACTGAATCTATTCACTCATGGCTTTTTTTCAGGGCTTTTTCTTTAGCCATTATTATTCCTTACCCTTTATATATATTGCTTAGGACAAGTTGAACTATTCCAGAGAAAAATTATTACAAGATAGATCAGACTTTTAGGAGGGATACACACCCTGCTGAAATCCTCTGATCCAGTCAAACAGGAACATCCAAGCAGTGCCTCTCTTTAAGGTGACAGGTTCAGACTAATACAGTCTTCCAAAGAAAGCATGGATCTGGGTGTGCCAGTAAGCTTTCCAGTTCCTGGCTCTTTTCCTTCTGTAATGAGGACTGGTAAATGTGTTTCAAAACTGTACATCAAAAAAAAATTACTTAATGTCTTGGTGTAACCTTTCATTTATCTGTAACACCACAGATCACAGACAGCCAGGTACACATTGTTTACCTATGTTACTACTTACCACTGAAAGGTTTGGGAACTCACAATGAAGCCAGGATTACTTAATCATATAAAATAGATTAAAGACATATGTTATTTTAATGTGTGTTACCCACTGAAACACAGCGCACATCGTGTTCACATCTAGTTTTACAGCATTACCACATGCAGAATTCCACAGCTTGTGGTTCTCTGAATTCCTTACCCAGACATTTAAACTATAGATCATGTCAGTGCAAAATAACTCAAAGCTTACAGACCCTACCATTCAATCAGCAGATCCACTTTAAATCCTCAGGGCAAATAGCCAACCCTAATCTCATGTTGTATTTCATTTCTATAATCCTTTAAGCATGCAAATACTTGCTGTTGCAGTACTTCTACTCAAATTAGCTTTAAAAAATGCTCTTTCACCTGACAAAGGTGCAGGGGCAATTTAATAATGCAAGACTGGAGCGACTCTGAAAACTGATACCAATTGGATCACTAAATCTATTTCAAAAATAGCGAGGCTTGAGATACACAGACAAAAATATTACAACAGCCTTCCCAAAGTTGCCATGAGCAGATACATTCTGATCAGCTGGTCAAAACTCTGCTTCAAAATGTCACATTGGAATTAAAAAGCTTTATGTTAGGGGTTTGTTTTTTGTTTGTTTGTTTTTTGCTTTTTAATAAAGCATTAGAATAGGTTTGGGTGGAGGGAAGGTTTTTTAACTTCTCTTTTCCCAAGTTGTGCCAGTAGCCTGAGAGAATGAGGGAGGGGAGAAGAGGGGAAAGAAGTACTAATTAAATAATACAAGTTCCCTAAAGATTTTTCTCTGGGAAAAAAAATAAAATCAGTGCTATTTTAGGGGTGGGGAATAGAAGGATGTACCCAGTTTTAGTCAAAACACATTTTCCCTATACAAAACTATTTGAAATGTCCAATTGGCACTAGCAAAAGCTTTTTCTAATTAGTATTTGCATAAATGTCAGTCCATAAACCAGATATGTGAGCATATCTGTGCACACAGACTTCAGATCTGCTTTATGAAAATCTGGGCTAGATAACAAGAATAGTAAGGGCTGGAAAGTTTTGGAAGCAGCTTATTAATTGGTTATTCAACAAAAATCCTTTAGTTTTTCAAGGCATGTGTTACATCCTAGGTCACATACATCTCCCCAGCTATGCAATATGAAATAACAGTGGGTTTGGATTCTCACTGTAGCCATAAACACGTCTGGAACATGATGTAAAACATTTCCCTCCCTGCCCCAAAAGGGATGTTCTGCAAAGAAAAGCATTCTCAGGGGGATTCAACATTCTTCAGAGAATACAAACCTTTTTCTGTACTCTGTCAGTGGGGAATGGGCAGCGAGGGTAATTTCTTTAATTGAACTCTTACAAGTGGAATTTGCTGTGGAGGGGGAGTTACCCCAAATTCACAATGCCACATTTGGCCTCTCTTCTGTTATAAGGAAGGATTTCCTCTATTATTTTTTTTTACAGGAAGACACTACAGTAGAACTTGGGCTTTTTTTTGTTGTTGGGAAAAATCACTACACCCAGGCATGTCCAGAATAGATGTCCTCTGCCTTTTCAAGCACTCCTTAGGATAAGGAGTTTACATCTCAAAAAAATTCTGTCAAGTACATACTAAGAAAAAGTCTACCTGACCCATGGGAAATACTTTTGAGTTTGAAATCCTGTTTGGAAGTCCCTTCTGTGAGGAATTCATCAAGAGCATTTTAGAATTGGACTCCAAAAGGAAAACAGAAGACAGCTAATTGCTTCTTCCCAGTCAGTGTTGCAGCTGGCTCAGGTCTTAGATAAACAAAATTTAACAGCTCCAGGCATACCAGTAGCCACTCCTTTATTTCCATGCACTGTACTTTCTAGGCTGAACTTTATCACTGACTCCCAAATCTGCAAATACCACTTAATGCTAAAAGCTGACACTTAACCCTACCAAGAATTACTTATTGCCCCTGAAGATAAAACACCTTTGTGGAAGAATCATATTGGGTGGAAAGGTAAATTACTGTTCTCGTTACAAATGGGTCTCTGGACCAGTAGACTGATCTGGAAATACCTGAACTAATTAGATTGCACCCAATACACAACAAGCCACACTGCTATTATTTGAGGCATAGATCCTGAGCCTCTATCCATGTTGGAAGCATCTCACCCCACAGACTGTCCCACTGTTATTGTCCTTATGGTCCAGGATTGATAGGGTGCAGAGCACAAGTGTCCTCATTCAGAGACAGACTGATTGCTCCAGCTAGCTCCTAATCTGATGACTGACACAGGAGAGGGGATGAGGATACAACAGACAAAGAAATGTGGTTCAGCTCTGCTGCAAATTGCATTTCTCTTCACTATGCACAGCAGCAGCTTGTCCTCTGCCCAGCCATGGATGAGCAAACTGGGATTGTCTGATAGTTCCACTGAGCCAAACCAGGACAGATTGTAAGCACCTGTGTAAAGACAGGCTGAGGAAAGATTTGAAGGGGGATTGCCTCCTAGTGAGGGATAGGGCATTGATGTCTAGGAGGGCTGGCAAAGAGATGTCAGAAGGTTTAAGTCCCCACCCAGCCCAGAGGAACCTGTTATAAAGCACCTGAAGTGAGAAAGACATTTACCAAAGTATTTGATTTCTAAAAAGTTGATGACACTCTTGTGCCAACAAAAACTTCTTAGTGAAGTTGTTTTTTTTGAGTCCACCCCCTAGTTTGGGTGCCTCAACACAACCCAGTAGCTTTACAAATATTTCTTCTAGATGGATCCATGTACCTCACCACAGTACCCAGAGGGCTCGGCAGGCAAGCATGTTTCTCTTGGGAATCTGCAGCCGAGTAAGCCACCACAGACCTAGCTTCTTTAAACTGGCTTTCCACCCAATGTAAGAGCTGACAGTTCAGCTGTCTGCAGTTCCTGACCTGGAAGTTACATTTAAGTGCTTATCAGAATGCTTTTTATCAAGCCCATTGTGCTGATTTTCCTGCTTTGCTCCCCCAAGGATTAATTTCCCATCCAACTGCAGGTAAAGCGACCCATTGCAAGTTAACATACCCACACATACACAAAGGCATGGCCAGAATTCAGAAAAAAAACAACAAAAAGGGGACATGGGAACCTAAGTGTGTAAAAACTGCTTCTGAAACAGGCCTTGCTAGCATCTCAACACAGCTTTGAATATCCCTTTTCGATGCAGCCAAGTAGAAGCAAAGAAAACCACAAGAGGTTACCTACAGCCATAGCTATAACAAGAATATTGACATCAGTCTAAAGACTTGGTAAGAGCAAAGCCATAGTGGATAAAAGCAGAAGACAGGCTGGGTCAGGACTGAGGAAAGGCTGGGTTTGGGGACAGTGATTCACAATCCCTCTTGGATTTATTGTAGCTGATGAAGATTAGCACCCAGAGCTCTGTGGATACTGTAGCTAAATCCAACAGGGATTACAGATCAGAGCCCCTCATTTAGCAAGATTTTAATCAGTGGGAACATCTTTGTCTAAGGATTTGTTCAGTACAAGGATGAGAAGCTGCTCTCTATATCTTGACATTGCCCCAAGAGACTTCTCAATCCAGAGCAGATGCTCACAGAGTGCAAATCAGCATTTGCTCAGCCTCAAACATCACACATGGTCCAAGGAACCCACTCAAACACTTCATAATCTGCTGCTTGCACACTAAAATTTCCCTTAAGCCACACAAGTACTTTCATTACTTTTCTACATACTCAGTGGCAGTAGCTGCAGACAGCTGGTGGCAGCAGGATTTGGATGATCCCAGCCAAAGGGTGACAGAGATCCTGCAGTTCCAACATGGAACAGTTCCCTCAATGAGACATTTTAGCTTTGGCTACCTTCTTCCCTTCTGATGCCAGAGACACTCTGCTCTGGAATCTGGTCTGAAATCAGGTCCATGTTTGCTCATAGCAACCTCTAAACTACTCAAAGCATTTTCCTGAGCCCACACAGTACGACAAGATACCCCACTGAGCACAGAAGAGTTGTCATCTGCCAGCTAATAGCTAATGCACTTCACTACATGTGACTTATCAAAGCAGAAAATAACCAAGTAATGGATGGCTACACAGAAGCTAGACTGACATTTCACAGATAGAAACAAGGAGATTTCCATTATAAATTATGAGCATGTTCACATTCATTAAACATTATCATTTTCTAAACAAAAGCAGCTCCCAATAAGACATTTTGGAGGAAAGCCATTGTCTACAGTTCATATTTCCCCTTATCACAGCTCAGTGTTTGCCAAATTTCTCATAAATGCTGATTTTAATTAGGAAAACATTTTTCCCCCTGCATAGTTCATTTCTGTTTTGCTCTTAAGTTACTTTAGTGGTGAAGCTGCCTTGAGGACAATACCAGTTGGTCAATAAATTCAACATATGCTTAGTGTCTTTACATTGGTAGAAATGAGCTTTTCTTCCCAGTCAGACCCTATGATATGCAATTTCCAGCTTGTTGGCAGAAAGGTTAAAGAGACAAAGCTGAAGGAACACCAGAAATAAACCATTGATGGTCACAGTATTTCCTCAGGTGTTAAAACAGCATGGCAAATGCTTTGTTCTTCCCATTCCTTTTCTTTAAAAAAAAAAAAAAACCCAAACCCACTGGCACATTTGAACAAGTATTTGCTGCCAAGTTTATTTATCTAAAGAAACCCAAGGTGTAGTTGTGCAGATACAGAGATTTTTGCATTATTCTAATCCAAAACTTAAAAACACCAACTTTTTCCCCATTATCTTATCCATAGAAGTCCTGGGTTTAATTTACATTATCATCTAGATTATCTTTGTTGCACTGTAAACACTAACAGGTGATTGAACCACAGGTTATTTACATCACAACAGTCCTTGAAAGCTTAAAGTTAGTGTATTTCTGAACACTGCTGATCCATTCAAGGAAAAAAAAAAACAAAAAACCAAAAAAACAGTGTTTTGCAGATAATTCAATAGGATTTTTTCACTCACCAACACAGCCTCTAGAGCTCTGCAGAAATATTCACTATTAAAAAAAAAAAAACCACAGTAAATGACTGTATTCCCAGGAAAGCAAACAAACTTTTGGAAAGAATAAGCTGTCTTGATCAACTAAGCATTTAAGCACATGCTTAAATTTAAGCCATTGAAGAAATCCCATGGTGCACAAACATAATAAATAGTGTAAATAGTCCCACTGAATTATTTTTCAAGTGCTTTGCTGAACTTCAGTATGGACACCAGTGGTGGGCACATGGATTAATGATGCCCTCTCCACTAATTATCCCTAACCTTATTTATGGCTTGAGGAGCTGTAATTAATAGAGAGGCTTGACATTACTGATTCACATCTTCCTTATTTATGTTTTCCATGGGGTTTTTTTTCCACAGCATGTAAAGTAACTAGTTACACAAGTCAACATCTTCCTGTAGTGAAAGCGTGGTGAAAATATCAGGAAAATATCATGTTTTTCTGACCTCTTCAAGCTTCTTCCCCAAGGCATTAGGAAAGAGAAGGCAGAAGGATGTCTAATGGTTAGGAGGCTAGCCAGAGACTAGAGAGGGTTGGTTTCAGGTCCAGCTCTAAGCACTCTGTGTGACCCTCAGGGAAGCTGCTTCTATATTTTACCCCAATGTGAAAAAAACAAAAAAAAACAAAAAAAACCCCAAAAAACTACATGAACAGTCTCTGGAGCAGATACTTGGACCCCACACCCTTTTCCTTCCTGCTTCCCTCTTGGGTAAGGACCATAACCACTCAACCACAGAGTCATGCTCCAAAAAGGAAGGAGAGAAGAGTTTTCTCTTAGGACACAGCTCAGCCCAGGGGTGCTTCACCTCTCCTGTGCCTTAGGGAGGCACTTATGAGACCATCTCCTGGGGTTTTGTAAGTGGGGACATGACTTCCTTCCCTCAGGGTATTCAAGGATAGGATTTTTTTTTCCTTTGAGTGCCTTCAGTAAGAAGGGCCACACTCAAAAACTGAAACATTTGCTGTTCTGGCCCTCACTTCAGTACATTAAAAAAGAAAAAATAAAAATATCTGTATTAATATCACTAATTCCAGCCTCTTTTTGTGGTCTTCAGAAAAAGAAGACAGCCACGAGGAAAAAGGTATCAGAGCTGGAGGAAGATCTAACTCCTGACAGGTAAAAAGAAGATGTGTTTACCTGAGATTCAGACAATGAGACTGCATCCTCTCTACGTTAGATACCCTATCAACCCTTTTAGTTTTTAATTACACAAGGAGCACCTCAACACTGCAATGCTTACCAACACCAGGAGCCCTACAATATATAAAACCTCATTATTAACAGCTATAAACATCCATAAAAAGCCTAGATAGTAAAAAAAAAGTCTTTCACAAACTTAAAGCACAGACTTCAGCTAAAACCATTTTTTGCATTCCTAGTGAATGCTACAACCTTCCCACTGCCCTTCCAACTGATGGCTTCACAGCACCACAAATAACAGGGCAAAAAAACCCCACTCCTTTAATGGTACACAGCACAAACCTTGTTTTTCATCCCCATCTTCAACAACACATACAAATCAAGATCCCCATCCTGCAACAACCCACCACTAGAGCCAGTCTCCATGAACTTCAGAGCCAGGTTAATTCCAGTATGAAGAGCTAAGCACACAACATTTAGGCAGGATATTTGCCTCTTTCCCCATCTTCTCTGCAGGTGCAGAAGCACCTGGCAGTTTTGTTGACTATCAGATTTTCCATCCCAGCTGATACCTGATAAGGGAGGCTGCAGCCAGGCCCCTGGACTCCATAAATCACTTTTCCTGCCTGAGGTATAATGTACATGTCATAAATCAGTCTTATTTATCAATAAGAGTTCTGGCAGACCTGGCAATTTCTTGTGTACCCTTGCTCTTTAAAACACCTTTATTTTATTTGGAGGATTTCTTCTTCTGACATTATGTTTTCAGGGAGCTCGTGATGCATTCACTGATAATCCTGCCATTTTTCACCTAACAGACACCTACACAGAGGTATCACTGCTGGGGGACCTGCTGACCCAGCAGCAGCACAGGGCAGGAGCACACCCAGCTCCCAAGAGAATAGGGCTAGAGAACAGCACAAAGACAAACACACTCGATCACTGCAGGAGGAAGCATGTGAGATTCACCCCACAAATCCATTTGTACAAGCAAGACCTGGACTAGATCATTTGGGTGCTAGCACTATACAATCAACGGTCTCTTTACCTGCTTTAAAATAAAAAAAACCCCAAACAAACCTCTTTAAGCAAATATTTAAAATAAATGCATCATGGATTATAATAGAGCATGACCTTTTACAAGAAGAGTGCCAGAGGATGCATATATTCTGTGCTTTACTCACTCTTGCACTTACCTGCTCCTTTGCATATAAACTTAATACAACATACAGCCACTTAAGAGCACAAGCTTTTTAATTGCTGGCTTTTAATCAGAGTTTATGTTATTTTGGCTCCAATGCTTTGCTAGTGCCTGCTGAGCAGGGAAGGAGGAAAACATTTCAGAAATAACAGAAGCTCAGGTTCGTCTCTGTTTTGGCATGATGGAGGGTGCAGAGGGGGCTTTAGTCAGGGACTGATCACATCACACTTACTTGGAGGAGACTCAGGGCATGCATCATTAAGCTTGCACAGTAAAAATAGTAAGACAGTGAAAGTAGAAGTCATGCTTCCAACAGAACTGTCAGGTTAGTCCCATCCTACCTTCTGCTTGATTTTATACTGCACCCTCAACATAAAATCACTTGGAATCAGAGTGGCAAAATCAACGTTATTGAAAGCATGTTTAATTTGCTATTTGCTTATTAGTACTTCTATATTAGTTGTGCCACTAACACTGCATAAACATAAAACTTCCCAGCTAAAATGGAAACAGGCTGCAGACCTCAAATTATATATATGGTTTTATTCACCAGCTGAGAGTTCCTATCAAGTATTTTTATTGTAGCCACACTAGAGCATCCCAATTGAGAGGTGACAAAGAAAAAAAGCTCAGATATTGAAGGAAGAGAAAGTGAAAATTACACAGTGAAAGACCTAAAAAGATTCAAATTAGTATTGTTTTGACTAACAATGCCACAAGAAATCCCAACAGGCTTGTTAATTTTATATAATCCTTGAAGGATATAATATATAGTATTATATAATCAATCTGTAGAAGCTAGTGCCACAAACATCAATGAAATTAATACTTAGATTGAAATCCAAAAGAGCGTGGAGAACAGCCACACCAGTATAAAACCAGATATAAGTGTATTAAATCCTCAGTTATTGGGAGATATTTCCAGCCATTAATGGAGATAGGAGGAAACCATTCCACTGGAGAAGTTATGCCCATTTCCACTGTATGTTTTTCCCCCAGTCCTCCTTTGGCCAGCCTGACCCTAACTCTGCTGTAGATGGACCACTGATTTCTCCAATCGAGTCATTCCCAGTATGTTCCTGGTGAGATGAGGCTGTCTCTTGCAAACAGAATAAATTCCAAGAAGAATTAATGAATTACTACTAATTGGAGAGCTAAGTGAATAGCTATAGTAGTGTTAGGATTGCTATTATTATATAATTTAAAAATAATTTCCCAGTAATTGATATTAATGAACAAGTCTATTACACAAGTCATAACTGATCTTGCATCACCTGGGAATGGGGAAATCAGTGTGAGAGGGAACCACGCAGAGTATGAGGTAATAAAAAAGATTCCTTGCCATAATCCAGAAAACTGTACTTATTGATTTCATATTTATGGCACTAATCACCTTTACCTCTGAGCTACAAAATACATTTGTAAAGCTGAGGAAACATAAATAACTCTTGAGATAGTTCAGTTATCAAAGGACTGAGCTTTTTAGAGTGCCCTAGAATTTCTGAGTGATGTCTCTTGTCTGCAGGACCATCGATTCTCTGTACAGAGAACTAGTGGAAGAAGAATTACTGATAAAAGCCAGGACTGTGAATCTTTCTGATTACGTTGGTAAAGTACACATTTTACAGCTAATATGTTGTTTAGCCTAACTAAACCTCCAGCCATTCAATGTTCACTGACCCCTGTGAGTTTAAGAGTTTAATTACACTTGCAGGACTTTCAAACTCAAGCAGCTAAAGCCAGGTATGCAAACCAAGTCTGGTTCTGCAGGGTGCTTAGCACCTTTCACTTCTGCTACCAAAGCCAGGACCTGTTTGCAGAGCTGGTGCTTGACTCCAAGCACTAACATCTAAAAGCCTTGGATGGTTTTGGATGTCACAAAGTACTCTGAGGTGGAACCAGGACATCCTTTAAGGAGCACTAGCCAGGCAGCGCAAGCCTATGAGGCCAGGGGTCATAATCCATCCAAAATATTTTGCAGAGAACAGCAAGAATCATACCTTCAGCATTTTTTCATTCAGCAGGGAAGACTCACTCCCTTACCTCCACCTCCCTGACTGCCCATGAACTTTGAGCAGTGCTTTGATGTATATCCACCCCTTGATTTGAGTAAGATGTGTCTGTTTATTTCTGCATTTCATAGTCCTCTTGCCCAGTTTCTGTTACCTGCAGCTGCAGTCAGACATGACTACACAGAGCAAAAAAAACCCCAAAACCCAAACCACACACATTTGTAGGCTGCACAGTGGTCTGACACCATCTCCAAAAGCATTTGGGGACATACAATTAAATCATTGTGACTATAGGAGCAAAAAACCCAAGATTCAGTTGTTCCAAAAGCCACCACTTGAATTTGGAGTCATCCAGAAGCCACAATGCCACTGGCTGTTCGTACAGTGTGTATCTGAGCAAGAAAAGCTGGATTCTCATACATGCCTCTAAACACCAGGTTTATATAAACTCTTCAAAGTACCAATTATTGCCTTCAGAGTCTTTGCCCACTTGCTTGAAAGCTGAATTAACAAGTATTCCATCCATTTTATACTCATTAAAGGTGATTATGTAATGGAAGACTTCCATTATTCCTTCACTTACTGAACTGGTCACTTTTGTTCAACCAACATTCCCTACCACAGATGTTTTTAAAGCACATCTTAGCCAGTGAATAATAATTATCAGCTAGTAACATCAAACTTGGAAACAAGCTCAGATGGCTTCAGGCCATCTTCCCTTGACCCTGAGGTTTGAAGCCTTGGCTCCACTGCAGTGTAGAACAACACCAGGGCTACTCCAAGTTTACACCAGCAATATTCTCTTCTCTTCCCAGCAGCAGAAAATACTGAGGATAGTGCAAAGCCTGACAATATTCACCTGGCTGCCTACATCTGTGCCAGGTCCCCAAAGTGTCCCAGCACAGATGCTTGCCCATGCAGGAAGGAGGTAGCCCAGACTATCAAAGCCACCTCTTCCTCAGTCATACTTCTTGAGCTGCCAGAACAAGATACAGAAGGTATTAAAAGTTGGCCCAGGATCTGGACCTATCTTGTTTGGGGTTTGGTTTTTTAACTAAAAACCTCCCTTTAAGGGTCCAAGGACAGAGTCAAAGCCTGCAGAAAAACAAGTAAGTCCTCATCTGCTCAGCTCTTAGAGGGCTGATGTCTAAGGAAGGTCACTTACTCCCAGTTCCTGGGAAAAGGACAAAGAGTGGAACTGTGCTACGCAGCAAGTAAAGGCACCAAAATGTCCCCCCTTCTATGACAAACTGACATCACTGAACTAATTTTCTTGGTGACCTTATCTAAATTAGTCAGAGAATATCCACTGTGATTTATGTTCAGTTGCAATTAAACCCTTTGATGCCTTCTAATTAAATCTGTGAAGATTAATTCCTATCCAGTTCTTTTGATTTGTCCTTAAATAAAAGATAAAACCTGAAATGAATTTTATTCATCAGAGGGGAGGGGGCAGTTGCACCAGGGCTTGTCTGCCTTTTTGCCCCCAAATTACAACTCCACTTTCTCTCTTAACCATTGCTAATTTACCTCTGCTCCAGACAGCTCTAGTGCTCTCTCCTTTTTGCCTCCAATAAAACATAATATACTAATTTTTTTCAGTAATATTCACCATAACATGGAATTTATGCTAAAAAACAATAATTGACTGCATCATCACAACTGGTTTTCCTGCTTGTGGCCCATCCTGCTGGGTCTTTGTTCTCTCATATGTCTTGTATATGGACTTTGACAGGGCAAAGCAATGTGATTATGGCTCTGTAACAAGAGCTGAGGCAAGATTAGATCATTTCAGTTCATGTCAGGAATTCTTACTTTTTTCTTGGGTTATTCTGTGGAGGTTTTTGTAACCAGGAAAAAAAAAGTGAACTGCAAAGCAAAGAGCCCCACCAAATTAGGTGACACACTTAAATATCTAACATAGTGAAAAGCCAAGATGTGATGCAGCCAAGGGGAAAAGCTTGTTAAAATATCTTTACCCCCTTTTTGAAATCCTTCTGATAGAGCATGGTTCACTGGGATTCCAGCCCTACAAAATCCCAAATCTAGAAATACTTTGCCAGCAGTGTGATTTATGGTGCTACTAATGATTCTTCTCCACAAAGTTTCTTTAAAAGGTTACTGGAGAGCGACTGCTCTGCCTTCCACAGTCTGGAAGGGAAAGTCCACAGTGTGTTTAGCTTCATTTTTCCTTTCCAGTTCACCTTTTAGAATTTCTTAAGTCCACATTCCCCAACAATATTGCCCCTTTTGCAACAATATTGCCCCATTAGAGTCCCTGCCCCTTGCAGGCACTGGGTTTGCCAAGAGCACATTCTACTGGTATTCTATTAGTGGCTATCTTCACCTTTTAGAATTTCTTAAGTCCACATTCTCCAACAATATTGCCCCTTTTGAGTCCTTGCCCCTTGCAGGCACTGGATTTGCCAAGAGCACATTCTATTGGTATTTTATTGGTGGCTATTTATTGCCACCAAGATGATGGAGTGGAGCATCTCCCTGCTGAGGAAAGGCTGAGGGAGCTGGGGCTCTTTAGCTTGGAGAAGAGGAGACTGAGGGGTGACCTCATTAATGTTTATAAATATGTGAAGGGCGAATGTCAGGAGGATGGAGCCAGGCTCTTCTCAGTGATGCCCAATGGTAGGACAAGGGGCAATGGGTGTGAGCTGGAACACAGGAGGTTCTGCTTGAACTTGAGAAGAAACTTCTTTACAGTGAGGGTGCCAGAGCCCTGGGACAGGCTGCCCAGGGAGGGTGTGGAGTCTCCTTCTCTGGAGACATTCAAGACCCGCCTGGACGCCTTCCTGTGTGATCTCATTTAGGTTCCTGCTCCAGCAGGGGGATTGGACTGGATGATCTTTTGAGGTCCCTTCCAATCCCCGACATTCTGTGATTCTAGGGTAGTTTTTCATTACACGAGTTCTGCATTTTCTAACAATGCAGTGTCACATTTATTAAGCCCGTGCTTCCTCCCTTCCAGGTGACTACAGCTACCTGGGGACCACACTTCGTCAGGCAGACGTAGAGCCGATGCCCTCTCTCGTGGATGTCAGGCAGCTAATAGCACTGTATGGAATATTACCATTAGGTAAGAGCACAGCAAAAAATTACTAGAGGGCAGAACACAATGCCTTTGCTTCCTGTCAGTAACATGCATTTTTACTGGCTTTGACAGGGCTTGATTAATCGTAATCTCAAGCATTTTGCAGTATAATTGTTTTTCAATTAAGCCTTCTGAGTGAAGACCGTAGCATTTTAATAGTGCATAAAGGAGTGTGCACATGCTATTGTCAGGTATTGCCTTTCCATATCATCCCTCTCTGCATGTTAACAGTTTGTGAATGGCAGCACATAAAAGCAAGTCACTTGGGAAGGATAATAGCTAAAACAAGCTCCAGTGATCAAAATTAATCAAGTTAAGGGAAGGGCTAAGGTTGCAATTTACCTTTTACAAGCTGGTTAATGTTACTCAGTACTAAACAATGCAATCATTTCAGGAATTAGTCTGAATACGTTTTGTATTATCAGAGAGAACACTTTTAAATGCTCTTGCAGTTTTAATGCCAGGCTCAGCCAATATCTAACAAGGCTTTGCTGGGTCAGGTTGTTTGCTTTTAATGGAAAATCTATCCCATATTTTACTTGGGAATGGCATTAAGCCAAACTCTGGTGATTGCAAGAAGTGCCTGTCTCAAAGGCCTCTAACTTTGCTTGCATCCTTTTCCACTCCTGATTAAATCCAATCAGGGAAATTTTAGCTAGGCATATCCTCCCCCAGACCATGTCATTGTCTATTCTTCCAGGTAACCAATGATAAGATGAGAGGTAAAATAGCCTCAAATTGCACCAGGGGAGGTTCAGGTTGGATATTAGGGAAAATTTCTTCTCCATAAGAGTGGTCAGACATTGAAACAGGCTGCCCAGAGCAGTGGTGGAGTCACCATCCCTGGGGGTGTTCAAGAAACACGTAGATGTAGCACTCGGGGATGTTTTATTGGGCATGGTGATGATGAGTTGATGGTTGGACGGGATGATCTTAGAGGTCTTTTCCAACCTTAATGATTCTGTGACTCTGCTCATCCTCTTTATAGGGCAAAATAGCTGAGGGGAGCATCTCCCTGCCTCCCATGCTGGCAAATGGAGCAAAGCTGACACAGAACTTCTGCTTTTCCCTCCCCTTTGAACACCTCCCAGGAAGACCCATGCTCAGGCTATTCTATACATACATGCTCTGTGGTTCTCCTCAGACATTTCCTGACTCTCCTGATCCCCAAAGCAGGCTCAATGTGTTGTAGAAAGCTTGGTGCAGTGGTGCACATCATCTCTATTTAGGTTTCAGGAAGAGAAGAATGCTCCTCTGCTGCCCTACAGCTCAATCTGAAGAGTCAGGTTCACAAACAGGATGCTAGCAGCACCCCTACCTTCAACCTCAATGGTGCTCTTCTCATCTAAAACACTCTCAGCTGGTTTTGGAGAAACCCTCAGTGGTTGGCTGCAAGTTTGACCACAATCAGCTGAGAGGGCTCTGCAGTTATCCCTATCTGCACTGACTGCAATGTGGTATTTCACATAAAACTCCTCCAAGGCTATGTTTTAACACCATCTAATCTAGTGAAATCAAGCCCCAAGACATCCCTGAGGCAGGAGGAAAGAGAACACATAAGTTTTCTGCCATTTATACAATTGACAAAAATTCTGAGAGGAGACCCTGGACTAGTTAAACAAACAAAAAGGATTTGCAACAGCAGTTTGAAAAATGCCTTTGAGAAAAAAATCTGTTGCATGAGCCAAAAAAAAAAAAGGCACAGGAATGACTTTACCTTTTGGGTGATATGTTCTGGATGACATTTTACTTAATTGCTCTCAAAACTAGTTAATCATTATGTAATTGTGTATGTGTAGAAGTGAAAGTTTTTCCTCAAAATAGTCACCTGATGGCAAAGAAAGCTCCAGCTGAAATGGCATAGAGAAAATTATAAGCAGCTGAAAGGAAAAAAAAATAATAGAAGATATACTTCATCTTTAACCACAGAGGAGTCTGCTGCTCCCCTCATCATAAATCTTTGTGTAATAGTAATAGATTGGTGTGGAACGACCAAATATTAATAAAGCCTGGGTGGCTGACAACTTCACTATATCCTGCAGAGTGCTGGAGTAGTGGCATTCATCTTAGCACTCAGTCCATTGTCAGTTATTTAGGATGTTACACCATTAGGGCACAGATAGACAGCCTGATTGGATTGGTTTTTCAATACCATTCTTACCTAGCTGGCCCCCTTAACCCAGAGAACTTTCCCAGGCTAAGCTTTCCACAGCCATCACCTTTGGGGCTGGTTTCCAGTCTCAAAGACCTTCAGAAGTCATAGATGCTCACAGAGATTTTTTCAAATCTGACTTTGTAACCACCACTACTACTGACACAGGGTATTTTTAGGCATCAAGGCAGTGATGTTACTGGACTACCAGTAGGTATGGATAAAGCATTTGACATTTCCTGCTACTTCCATTTCTGGAGCTTCACCTGTACCTTATTGTCCTGGTTTTTAGCTGGGACAGAAGTGGGTTTCTTTTTAGTAGTTAGAATAGTGCTGGGTTTTGCTTTCAGCCTAGGATTTGTTAGGAGAGAAACACTGAGAACATCCCCATGTTTTCAGTTGTTGCTGGAAGTTGAAGGACTGTGTTTTGCTGGTCTACAAGTGCAAGATCTAAGGGGACAAGGAATATTGCAATGCATCAGCTCCATGGGCATTGGGCTCTGCCAAGGGGCTGTTCCATCTCCTGTCCCCCATGGGCAGGAGATCCATGAGGGGCTCTTCCTCTCTTGCTCTCTCTGGCTTTCGCTCTCCTGGGACTGCAGTTTCGGTTCAGGATTGTGAGCAATGGCACTGGGTATCACTCATTTGCATATTTTATTATATTATTAATATCATTATTTTAAGTTTTCTTTTATTTCAATGATTAAGTTGTTCTTATCTCATCCTACAAGCCTCCTTACCCTTGCCCCCCAATCCTCTCCCCTATCCCCTGGGGGTGGGGGGGAAGTGGGTAAATGGCTGTCCCAGCTGCTAGCCAAGGGCCAGCCCAGTGAAACTATCACACTAATTCATACAGCAAGGAAGCTGCAGGAGACAACTTCTATCACCATCAGCCACCTAAATCTCTCTGTGGTTCTGTTTTCACAACACAGGCATTTCTGCAAGGCTTTCCCAGGTGACAGAGCATATTTCTTACAGCCCAGAATGAATTTACCTGGAGCAGCCATAGAGACAGATTTAGAAATGCTGAGCAGTCATCCCTGCTGGCAGAGCAAGTGAAGCATAGCAACCCTAGCATTTGCATTTGCTCACCCAAATAAAGTGATGGGAACAGAAAAGGATATTCCTTCTCCTAGCAGATATATCATATCTGCTTTGCAGCATGCAACTGCCATGTTCCAGGCTGGGGAATAACACTGGCTCCTATGCAGAGATGCTAACACCACACTCAGCAGGCATGTGTAAAGGGTATAACAGCAGTGAAGGGTTTTGGAGTAGATCTAGCCTCAAGTCACAGAGTCTCCAGTGCTCACTGAACAGCAATAACATCTAAGAGTAAAAATTACCTCCAAAAAAAGGGAGGTGCATGCAGAAGTTAAAGGACATAAAACACATGGTAACATCTGGTTTCAAAATCGCTGCCAAACACAGCTTTAAGAGATAGTCCTATTATTTTGTTTTCTCTAAAGATGAGGAAGAGCTGGAAAGTGTCATTTCAGACAGCAGGCAGAATGAATTCTGCTAGTCCTACTACATGCAACACGAATCTATACCCTTACAGAAAGCTAATTAATTGCTCTGACAACAAATGCAAAGCTTGAAGCCACATGTACATCTAGCTCTGCCCAAGAGCTGAGGGAAGGCAGTTATTCCCATGCAGAGCACCAGGCTTGGCTTGTCTGTACACATAGCCACCAGCCAGTTCCATTTCAGTGCTCTTCACTTGCATCCATCCTCAAAAATTCCCTGAATTACCTTTCTTTTAGCTCACACAGATTTAGAGCTGAAGTTTGCCCATCAGAAGGTACAAATAAGGATGGTTGCACTTTTGCTACAAGCAGGGATGTTAACCAAGCTATGGTCACAGCTGTGGTAATACAGAATTTAACTCCAGAGCACTTGTGGCATATTAAGGAAACAATGAATTCACATTATAAATTATTTATGGTGAAGAAAAAAGGAAGAATCATTCCATTACCTTTATGGCAGACTTAAATGAAAGCAATAATAGAGCCATATGACTTTTTACAGGTTCCCAGACAGTCCATGAGAAGGCTCCTTTGGTGAAAGCTTTGTTACTAGCTGGACCTGCTGGTGTTGGAAAGAAAATGCTGGTCCATGCCATCTGCACAGAAACAGGAGCCAACCTCTTCAACTTATCTGCTTCCAACATTGTTGGGAAATATCCAGGCAAGGATGGTCTGCAAATGATGCTTCACATGGTTCTCAAGGTACTGTGTTTTGTGTACTTCTCTACAAAGTCAGTTCAGTTCATCACACCTTTTGGGGAACAAATAGGCAATTGAATCCTCTGGCCCAAGGAACACACACACCAGTCAGAGGAGGGCAAAGCTGCCCAAGGTCCCAAGGACTCCCAACCCAATTTGAAATTCCCTCCTTGCTTTCAAGTTTTCAAACCCACTTGTTGACAGCCAGTGTGTGCACCGCTGTAGAGGATTTAATACCCCTTGAGAAATCACTTGTAAGCAGCCATATTTTTCACATTAACATTTGTGCAAGCTTTGTGTTACCTTGAATATGAAAAGCATCATAGATAAAGAAAATTCTGTTCTCTGTTTGTATGCACATCAGTCAGGAATGCTTGCCATTCAGTATTTAATCAAATACTAGACTTGGGGGTGGTCAACAATTTCCTCTCTGGGACTGTTGCTGTAAACCAGCTCTCCCCTATACTGCTCTCTGCTTACCTATCAGCAAGCTTTTCAAAAGAGGGAATCCTAGTTCAGGATTACATTAACAGAAATGTATGAGAAGTCTGGAAATTAAAGGAGGCATATGAACTGTGAAGAACATATTCCAAATCCTCTTTAGAAAAAAGACACTATCCTGGCAGGATTTCTTCCACATTTTAAGTCCTCAGCATTTCTGCTAAGGAAGGAAGCTGGTAAACATTTCCAGACAAAATACTCTTTGAAAGAAAAAAAACACAGCACATACACTAGAAAAAGCCAAATACAATATTTTTCCAGTGCCAGAGGCCTAGTAAGAGACTGAATTAAAACTGGCCTTCCCTGGAAGTTATCAGATGTATTTTAAGTCCAGTATTACAGCAGGTTTTGTGACAGGTGCCTCCATCCCCAGAAAAGACAGGTTTCCCAGTTAAAAGCAAAGCAATCCCCAAGGACCCCATTTCTTGCTGGTCAGAGCAGCATCTAAGGAAAAATGACAGTGCTGTGATCATGCACCTTTGATGCCACAACACTGACACTGGGTCTAGCTCTCCCTGACACAGGCTAGTGCCATTAGACTGAGCTAATACTCCCTCTGCTCAACACATTTCACCCTTCTCCACTTGGTTTCTCTGCCCTCATCAATAGCAAAGCAGACATGTGGCTGCAGGCACAGCACATGCACCATCCTTTCCATCATCCAGTCCCTGCTGGAGCACAAGGACTTCAAACAGAGAAAGGAAGGCAGCTTCTTTACTCCTACAGAAGGTTCCAGCTGAAGATATTAAGGTTTTTTGTATACACTCATATATATATAATATAAAAAAACTGGAACATACCTAAAATGTGTGTGTATAGCTGTACACATTAGGTACATAAGTATATACACACACATTATATATATAACATACAAAAACTTAGTTATAGGTATATAAAAACCCTTACATTTTTCCACATTACTTAAACAAATGGAAACATCATCCAACACCTCTCCCAAAATCACAGGGAGCAGTCCAAGCTTACTTCTCTACTGTAAATCTTACAAAAGCAGCAATGACACTTCAGTGAACCTCCATGAGTTACTGGGATGGAAGTTGCTCAGTCAGTCATGTGGAATAAGGGCTGTCCAGGCACTTGCTTATCAAAAAGTGACTTGTTCCAGCTGCAACAGCAGTACTGCTTCAAACTCTGCTCCTCTAATAACAGAGCAAACAGCACAGCACAGAGTGTCTCTTTCCAAGGGATACTTTATCTGCTGACTCATATTGACAGAGCACCAGCCTGTCTTAGCAGCATTCCAATCAAATATGCTCAATTTCCATTCCCAATTCCTTTGTTTTTTTTCCACTTCTCTCCCCACCACTTTCTACCCCTGTGGCAAGGTCACCGATTTGACTGATCTGCTGATGATTTTGACTCAGATTCTGTAGGTTCTCAGGGCCAGGCTAGAAGCAATTCCCCATCCACACAGGCTCTCACCTCTACAGTTCCAATTCCTCTTTCTTTGGTCTTAACAGTGCTAAGTGTGTCTCATTTTCCCTGTCTCTGGGAACTCAAGTCCTTGCCACAGCCACCCACTCCATTTGAACTGCCATCAGCTGCTACTTCTTCACAGCATCTAGTGCTTCCCATCCACTACCATAGTCCTACACCTGAGAAGAAGTAACTTCATGCAAGAGCACAAAGAGGTCCAGGCTGTAGCCCACCAGCTAGACAGCACCTTTGCAGGAAAGGACTGGGGGTTCTTAAGGACAGCAAGTCAAACATGAGTCAACAACATGTTCATGCAAAGAGTCTCTATCAACAAGAGTATAGCCAACCACAAAGCAATTTTTCCCCTGGAATAATTCATTTTTCCAATTGGATACTGTGCCCAGTATGGGACCACCCTGTTACACTACAGGCTTTGACAAGCCTGGTGCAGAAAACAGGGCCAGGCTTTTCCTAGAGGTGCACAGCAATAGGAAAAGAGGCAACAGACACAAGTAGCAACAAGGGAAATTGTTTATATGTTGGGAAAACAGCTTCACAAGGAGCCAAAGGATGAGGAATCTTCTATATCCCAATTTGCAGGAATCTACTGTTACCCAAGCTGAAGCAAACAAGGGCAACACACATTGCACACTAATTCTTTGACAGGAAGAAGCTGAACACTGATATTTGTCCAAAAATGTTTGGTTTTCACCATGGTAAAAAGATTCTGGTGTAAACACATTTGGATTATTCCAAGACTACAATATAGAGTGGCACATACAAGCCATGAAAGGAAATGGTATCCTACCACTAACATGTCATATTTAAGATTCACAGCTCTCAGCCTACTATGACACACCACAGTACACCTTGTTAGAGTGCTTTGCATGCAGATGATCACCAAACAATCCACCACAGCTCCATAATCAGATGCTTCTGGTCATGTTTTTTTTTCCCCACCAACAGCAACTCTGACTCTTGTCAAGCAAGCTTTCTACTCCAGCTTTCCAGAAGCACCTTGATATAGAGTTAGTCAAGCAGAATACAGACCTTCCACTTCCAGTTGCAAGTGAATGACAGGAAACGTGACAGTTCATTTTCTGTTATCTTATGCTCCATGTACCCGTTGTTAAACACTAAGATTTAGTAAATAAGAATCAGTGGTGCACTGTGATAAAGGTGAAGTAGCTTTGCACTTTCATTTGCCTATCACATCTGCTAAAAACAGGGTTACTATAATGAAAGGAAACTCTGGAGAGCAGAAAATGACCATTAGGAAACTTTCTGTCCATTACTGACTGTTGGCTGCTGGCAGTTGTTTCGTGGGAGACACCCTAAACAAGTGAATAACATTGCAAAGGAGAAAAAACAACCAAGAAACTTTAATTTGTTTCAGATGCAAGAGCCAAATTCTTTTTTTCCCCTCCCTTATTTCAGGGAGGAGACTTGTAAGAGACATACCAGCCCTGATCCAAAAAGAGAGGCTGATGTGTTACTCAAAGCAGGCACTTTAAATGTCATACGGAGGAAATGACTTCTCATACCAGAACAGGAAAACACCAACATTTCAATCTGCCTGTTCAAAGGAAATGTAAGGAAGATTAATATTGAATAAGAAAACTATTGAAAGAAGCTGAAAACACCAAGCCCAAGCCCTTGTGTTCTCCATAAAGACACAGCAAAGCCTGCCAGGTCAGCCCTGCTTCAGATTGAAAAAGAGAGGATCTGTCTCTAATATAAAAGCACTTCCCAGCAGTCCCCAAAACAAAACTCATCCTTCAAGCGTGAAGCAGAACATGCTGGAATTTTTCAGTTAAGCCACATTTTCCATGTGTTGAGCCAGCTTGAACTCAACAGAGCTCTCCGCCAGCTTGTACCAGCCGATGCCTTGGCTCTCCCCTGTTCCCTTCAAGGCACAGAACACTGCAGCAGCACCACAGCTTATAGAAAAAGATGCAAAGAAGGATAGTGAAAGGTGCATAAAAGCAAAAGCAAATCCAGAAAGGATGGAGGAGAGAAGGTGGAAGGCCTGACTCCATGCCACAGAGGTGCAAAAATACAAGTAGTTCATAAGGCTTAACTCTAAGACAATAAAAATGACAAGCACTGGCCTTCCATTAGCAACCATAAGGCAGCCATCAGGTTAATCACTACCAGAGTGAAACAACCCCTCACAGGTCCTTCACCAGGGCTGCAGCAGCACACAGAAAACACATTGTACCAAAAGCCACACGTGGGGAAAAATGTTATTAGTGCAACACTGACCAGGCTAAAAGGTTGGGTAAGAGGTGGGTCAGGAGGAAATACCAGTGGAGAAGGAGAGTATGTGTATCAACAGCTCAGCGTGTGCTGTGCAGCCATCTCTACTGAACAAGGGGTTTTACAGAACTGAAATATTTCAACACCATTGCTGTTAAGGGACTCTGTTATCAGGCTATTTGGTTATGCTATTTAGCAAATCAGAGGTGACTATAAAAGTGTTATACCAAAAAGGAATACGATTAAATCTAATTAAATTATATAATCCTAGCATTTAGAGGCAACAAAAACCCCCTTTTTTCCCCACTGTCAATATAAAAATATTGATGAACCACGTTCATTTATTTGTATCCACTGCTATATTGTCCCTTCAGGGAGGTCCTTTTTCTCGTAGTCTGAAGAACCAGTTAGTTACCCTAATCTGTTGACAGAAGTCTTTGCATATTTATCATTTCCATGCCACACAAAACTCTTCCATTACAGTTGAAATGTGGGATCAGTACAATCAGTCTTTCTTCCAAGCATCTCAGAGCAATTCTTTTCTCTTAGTGCAGTGCAGCCTGCTAGAAGCCTAGACCCCTGAAGTGTTTAATATCACCAGTGCTCAAATACACAGTGTTATTTCTGTGACAAAGCAGCTTTACTTTAATGTCAAAATATGAAATGCATCCTGTTGGGACACAGTATTTATAGTTATTTTTCTAATAAACCAGAATACAGTGGTATCATCACTGTAGCACTGGAATATTTGCCTGGTGAGGCTCTCACAAATAAGGTCTAATCCCAAGCTTCAGCATCTTGCTGCTTTAGCTGCTTTGGAGCATTTCTGTGAATATAAACTACAGAGGATTGAGTAATTTTCAGCAACAGATTGAGCTTCCAGAAAAATCTTATTCCTGAGCTTTTAAAATTCCACCATAGCAATCAAGTTTGGAGGAGCCTTGCGCACACGTCCCCTGCAAGAATCAGGTTTTCTTTATTTTAAGTGTAGCAATTTAACTGTTAAACTCCAGCTCTCAAGTTTGGAAAGTTTAACCCAAGGCTTTCAAAAAAAATGCTGTTTGATCTTTCATAAATATTGATAGAGAGCAGGACAAAAAGCTTTTTTTTTTTTTTTCATAATGATTTTCCTGAAGAGCAAATCAAGCCTTCATGACCCATCAGAGAGTGGTTTGCACAGCTGCTGGCTCGGTATTAGAAGGGTTAAGGAGCCATCTGCTGGCAGCTCTCACAAATTGTTGAATCCAGCAATGCTAATAAAATTTCAATTACAAATTAATTATGTACAGTGCATTTAATTATCCATGGATTCAAACTGTCCGTGGATAATTCAAATGAAGCGCTTACACAGGGGGATATACAGTCTGCTATGTATCTGCCAACAATTTAAATTAGATGCCAATGGATTCTGGGTGTCTGATCTGTCTTAAAAATAAACCAAACCCAGCCCCAAATAATGTGTTGAATTTGGTCATATTAATGTTAACCAACCCCAGAAAGTTATGTACAGGCCACTTTATACATTTATATCATTGCCTCAAAACAGAAAGCACAGGAAAAAGCCAGAACTGAGTTTATTCATTGTTTTTCTGCTTCCTGGGTGGGAAAATAAAGGGGACCAAAAAAAAAAGACAACTACTACAGGTGAGAAAACAGTGAGCACGCTTCCTTAAGAGTTAAAATTAAACTATAACCCAATTAAAAACTTAAGGCTCCATTTTCAAGGGCTGATAACCACAGAAACCATCTCTAAGCCAAATGGGGAAGACCTGCACCTCCCTGACTCCAGTGGCCCCACTGAAGGGACAACACTGTTCCCTTTGAGGTACACAAGCAGGGTTCAGCCCCTGCCAACAGCTTTTGTAAGCTCTGTAACCTCCTCCACTCTTATTTCCCCATCACATTGCACTGCAGCATCAGACAGAAAGGTACAGAGAAGATATTGCAGAACAGCTACATGGCTTCCTAGACTTCCTACAGCTGCTTTACCTCACCAAACAAAAATACCAGAAGACAATTATTCTCCTTCCAAAGCAAACACACAGCACTGCTTTGGTTGTAAACACGAGTGAAGTGGGAAGAAAACACCACAGCAACAGCAGGTCCCACAGTGACAGATTCTAGCAGGGTGGTAATGCACACACATGCACTGTCTGTAAACTTAGAATCCCAAACTGGTTTGGGTTGGAAGGGACCTTAAAGCTCATCCAGTCCCAACCCCCCTGCCATCAGCAGGGACACCTTCCACTAGACCAGGTTGCTCAAAGCCTCATCCAACCTGGCCTTCAACACTTCCAGGGAAGAACAGCCACAGCTTCTCTGCCCAACCTGGGACACTGTCTGACCACCCTCACACCAAAGAATTTCTTCCTCACATCTCATCTCCATCTCCCCTCTGCCACTTTTCAAGCCATCACCCCTTGTTCTGTCACTCCTTGCCCTTGGCCAAAGTCCCTCCCCACCCTTCCTGTAGACCTGCTTTCCATACTTGAGCGGGCAACATGCCACCAGCCCAACCTTCACTCATGGGAAAGGCAAGCTTCAAGGGGAACAGTCTCCCAGTGCCTCATCTCCTTCCTGACATCCTCTTTCCAGGAACACACAGAGCACGAGCAAAAATTGGCTCTCTTATGTTTCAGAAGGTAAAAGTCACCATCAGAAAGCCCCAGCTGATAATCCATTCATTAGCAGCACCGAGTTCAGCAAGGGTCTCTGAGTCAGAGTTTCCACACATCACAATGGATTTCATACTGGAGGCACAAAAAGCAAATGCAGTTCTTTAAGAAGCTGTAGGTTTCTTTTAGCAATTTAAACTACACCTATATTTTTCTTTACAAGTGTTAATATTACAAATAAAGCCAATTGTCTCATCTCTCTTATATGACCATGCTACTAGATTACCCTTCTGTCACCCCTTGTCTCCAAGCCTGTTTACAGGCATCCAGGAGCTAACTGAATTCCCCTGAATTCACTGAATCAGTAGGACTGACTTGCATTTTCTGCAGGTGTCTGAGCCCTCAACTAGCAGGATACTCAGCACAAAATCCCTGAGTCTAAGGCTGCTGCAGAGCTCAGCTCAACAAAAACCTCAAGCTTGCCCTCTCCAATGTACTTTGCAGAGTGTGTGCAGGCTTGGGAATATGCCAAACATACCTCTGAGAGCAGATAAACATGATAGATTAAAAAAGCATCTGGCCTTAAAATGACAGATATTATCACTGTACAATTTTAATCTGTCATTTCATTCCAGCTTGTATACTCAAGACACTGTTGGACTGAGAAGTTACCCCTTAAGTTGTACCCACAGATCAACATTCACACACCTGCCCAGGTCCACACATCAATTTCTGCAGGTTTTTCCTATTATCTTCCATGATACCCTCTTTTTATTTTTTAAATCCTCATTATTAACACTAAACATTTGAGTTCCTGCCTTCCATCAAAACAAAAATCTGTTTTCCCCAATGAAATTGTTCTGAACTTGGAGGTACCACTTGACATATTGTAGAACTGATGAGTTGAAGCAAATAAAAGTGCCACATGCCCCAAGACAGCACTGTTTCCACTTCACCCCGTCAGCAGCACAGCAAACAAGTCTAACAGCCCTCATCTACTATTCTTTTCCCTTATCTTCAATCCATTTTTACTGTACAGTCACACACACAGTGCTCAGTGCTTTTGAAATGCCTCCATTAAAAAAAGTGAACTGTGGTGCTTTGAAGAAAGATGTTCATGACTTAATTCTTCCTGCCCTGGCTGTCAATCAGACACTGAGTTTATGATGTATACAACTTACCAATTTTATTAGCTTCCTTCCTGGAAGCAGCAGTTTCAACTAGTAGGGGAAAAAAAAAAGGCAAGCAGAACAGTAGAATGCTGTCTGTCTCTCGTTACCCATTGACTCTTCCAGCCATCACTTTTGTTGCTGAGCAAACTAGCACGGCTCCGTGAGCTACTGGAAAGTGATTAAAATTTGGCAGCAGAATGTCTAAACCGTTTCTATAGCAATAGGGAGAGTGCAAGATGTGAAAAAAGCCTGTAGCATTGCTGCCATCCTGCTGTGAACCAGAGGTATAGTGCCTCTGACTTTGGAGCTGGAAAACCCATTTGTGTAGACCTCCTCCTTCCAATTTTATAGCTTTTGTTTTAATTCTTGGGCTAACTGGAAATTAAATACCATTTTTTTTTAAGACAGAACACTACATATCAGCCTATTTGCTGAGAGATTAGTACCCTCATTTCTCATGCAACAGCCCATCTCCCCATCTCTATTGCCCTCAGAAAATCAGGGAGGGATCCTTCTGCAAAGGCAGCCAGTCTAAAGCTGCTGGTGGTCTGTTGTTTGCCATTGAACTCGAAGTCCAGGCTTCCTTTTACAGAACTACAACTGAACTTGGGTTGAGAAATGAATCTTTTGAGGTCCCTTCCAATCCCTAATATTCTGTGATTCTGTGATTCAGTCAAAACAGTCCAATTTGGGTTGGGTTCTTAGTGTTAGATTCCTAACTAGAAACTGTTTCATTTGCCAAGACTGCTGAGCAGAACCTGTACTATCCATGAGCACTGAACATTTCTGGAAAAAATAAACCAGGCTAATTTTAACTGTTGAAATACAGATTTAAAAGCATAATTCTAGGCACCCAGGTATGAAATCCTAGCCATTTTGATCTACTCTCTCCCATTTTTCTCTTAGGTGGCTAAGCAATTGCAGCCTTCAGTTGTGTGGATTGGAGACACAGAAAAAATATTTTCTAAAGCAGTGCCAAAGGCTGAAGAAGAGGTGAGTTGCTCCTTTTTTATCTCAATGCAGATAATTTCTCCCATTGCATCACAGCTGATACAAAGGAGCAAATGTATTTCTTAGCTTAGCACATACCAGTATGACCAGACCTGCCAAAGCTTGCTTGATAATAGCTTGTCTCACTAACATCTTTTTCTTCTAAGAGAGTCTTGTGACTTCTTAAGAGCCCCCAAGAGGTCACATTTTTCTCCTACACACCTATAGTTGCTTTATTTAAAAATAGTCCAGTCACTGCTCATCAGTGCACTGAAAAGTACAAGAGAATAATAGAGAATTTAAAATGAGGCAAGAAACTAAAAGTTAAGATGAGCTTAAATTGTTCAGCTCTATTAATTTGAGAAATTGGATAGAGCCAAAGTGAACAATAAAACAGTAACAAGGATAAATTTCCACTGTGAAAACAAAGAGCCTACGTTAAATAGTTATGTTTACAGATTATTTTCTTTGGGCTCCCAGGAGTCCCACTGCCATTGCTTCCATTCCTTCCTCCCTTGTGCAGCTTCCCCACTAGAAAGAAAATTAAAACACTGCCCAAATAGGCACAGCAACGCAGCCACCACAGCAGAGAGCAGTTCACCTGAAATCCTGATTAGATTCATGCTGCTTGCAAAATACTTTACTTTTTAGAGCTCCATGTGAAAAAATAAACCTTTTTTCTTAAGGCAAGTCCTGTGCATTTAGACTGTGGGATGGACACAAGCCTGTATTTTGGAAGGCCAACAAAGCATCACCTTGGATGAGGTTGTTAGTTCTGTGAGGGCTGTATGAGCTGATGGGTGTGCAGTGGTTGATGCCCACTGGTGGTCCCCACACCAAAAATGAACCTTTCTCTTGGGCTCAAACCTTGACAGCAAGTGCAGATGGGGATTAAAATGAAGACTTGGGGCGAAAGAGTGCCTGGAGTACCCGTTATCTTTGTCTGCTTTGATAGCCACCAACAAAGAAAAATTTCTGTGGTGGTTTCACTTGGCTGCAGCCAAACAGCCACTCACTCACTCCCCTGACCCAGGGGACAGGGGAGAGAATTGGGGGGCAAGGGTAAGAAGACTCAAAGGATGAGATTAAGAACAATGTAATAATTGAAATAAAATAAAAGTTAAGATAATAATGATAGCAAAATAATTCTAATAGTAATAAAATATATATGAAAATGAGTGATACACAATGCAATTGCTCACCACCCACTGACCAAGCCCAGCCCATTCTCAGATAATGATCCCAGAAGGGCAAGAGCCCAAGTGAAAGAGAGAACAAGAGAGGAAGAGCAGCCCCTCATTAATATACCAAACATGACATTATATGATATGGAATATCCCATTGGCATATCCAAATACCAATCTAGCTTATTAATTAAAATATTCCTCACCCTCCCCTAGATCTTGCACTTGCAGACCAGCAAAACACAAAGTCCTTTGACTTCCAACAACAACTGAAAACATCAGTATGTTCTCAGTGTTTCTCTCCTAACCAATCCCAGCTGAACCCAAACCCCAGTGCTGTTTCAGCTGCTGAAAAGAACCAGCTCTGGCCCAGCTCACACCAGGACAATTTCTCACCTCAGTCAAGGGTATCACCTACCACTGATATTGCAGGTCTATGGAGCCCTGCAGGTATTTCAACAAAAAGTCTCATGTTCTTGGAGGGAGGGAGTGGATGGCTCCAGGCTCAATCTCTCACATCCCACACAGTTCAGAGCATAATCCATATTTGGAGTCAGAGAACCTGAAACAGGAGGGACAGGCAGTGGTAACTGGCTGTCTGGGGACCCTTCCTTAGGAACACTTTAAGAGAGGTGGGTTTTGGAGAAGATGAGCTAAGTTCAGCCCTCAAAAGAAGTCAAAAGTGAATAGAAGTCACTTTACTCATCCCAGCGTGACATTTCTGGCACCATGACTGAGAACCTGATAAAATGAAGCCTTAAATTCTTCAAATAGACTACTTTTCTAGTAGGTTTCTCCAGTCTTCCCTAGAGGATAGCAAAGCAGTCAAATATCAAATACATTATGGTAACCCAGTTGCCTTTCAGCTGAGCTTTGCAGGACATAGTTTCTTCCTTATTGACATTAAGGAAGGCTGATCTGAAATTGAAGCACAGGTTTTTCAGGGGGTTTTCAAGTGAGTGTTGGTGACTTGGATGTTAAGTTTCAATCATTTCTGTTAAGAGGCTTCCAAGTCATTAGACTTTTCTGATACACTATCCTAACCCAGTTATTCACTTATAGCTTTATTAACAGTAGAGCGACACCACAGCAATTTGATTAATCCAATATTTGCTTGAACATTATCAACCAACCAATATTTGCTTGAACATTAATCAAGCATAACTCTCCAATAACAGGTTTGGCTTGATACTCATCTGTTCTGTAAATAGCAGTTAAATACTTGTTTGAAAGTCAAATAGTGAATTATTGCAAAGAAATGAAACCTCAGTTCAAAGAGCTCATGTTCTCACATTAGAGCCTCAGCAACCTACAAATCTCAGCAAAAATTAAGTGCATTTTTCACATTTAAGCTATGGGTAGGAGTTGGTGGACCATAACCTCCAAGAGCTGGGAGGATTCCACACCAGGTTACATACCCTGGCAATTTATCTATTTGTTAAGGTTGATCAGATACACAGGTCCAAGCAATATTTCTCCTTGAACTGCAAATCAGGATTTCCTTCTTTAAATGAGTTGTTTCCTTCCTGCTTTACAAACTCAATAGTGAAACGCACTAGCACAAACCCATAAATACATAAGCAGAAATCGAGTGTTTATCTGACTTTCAGAAGACAGAGTTGCCACTTAGGTTGAGCATCTAGTCTGCTTATACTAAATACAACTAGACTACTAAAAAAAGCACAAAGCCTTGTTGTATACAGCATGTTTACAACTCCACCTCATTAACTCTCAACTGTCAGCATCATAACAACTCTTTCCTCCTTCTATTTACATGTACACACTGAAGATGAACCCCAAACGACTGGAAAAGATGCTCCCCAAGTTTCTGAAGGCTTTGAAAGCACAGGACAGGGTGCTGCTCGTGGGAACCACCAACCGCCCCTTCGATGCTCATCTTAAACGTTTCTGCAAAGTCTATCAAAAAATTATTCTGATTCCCAGGCCTGACTACACTTCACGATTTGGCAAGTATTTCAAGCAATCCTATTGATTAACTGCTGTTTAAAATCCATGCTTAATTGTCTGGCTATCCTCAGAACTGACTTTAGCCTCAGTTCATACCCCAGGCATGAATTTTCAGTATTAATTTCAGTATTGCCTACATTTTCAGTTCCTGAAAGATGAGGTAATACTGATGCAGGTTACCCCAAAGAGGAGATAATAAAAGTGAAACTTAAGGCACCACCTGGAGTACTGTGTCCAGTTCTGGAGCCTCCAACACAAGAGAGACCTGGAGCAGCTAGAACAAGTCCAGAGGAGGCCACCAGGATGATCCAAGGGCTGGAGCAGCTCTGCTGTGAGGACAGGCTGAAAGAGTTGGGGCTGTTCAGCCTGAAGAAGAGAAGGCTCCAGGGAGACCTTCTAGTGGCCTCCCAGTACCTGAAGGGGCTACAAGAAAGCTGGGGAGGGACTTTTCATAAGGGCAGTTAATGACAAAACAAGGGGAAATGGGTTTAAACTGAAAGAGGGGAGGTTTAGATGAGATATTAGGAAGAAGTTCTTCACTGTGAGGGTGGTCAGACACTGGAACAGGTTGCTCAAGGGAGTTGTGGATGCCCCCTCCCTGGAAGTGTTGAAGGCCAGGCTGGATGAGGTTTTGAGCAACCTGGTCTAGTGGAAGGTGTCCTTGGTGCTGGCAGGGGGGTTGGAACTGGATGAGCTTTAAGGTCCCTTCCAACCCAAACCAGTCTGGGATTCTGTGATTCTATGAAACTGGGAGAAGGGTTTGAAACACTGGTCTGCAGTGATTAGCAGAACAAGCTAATTTCTTTGTGAGTTGTTTAGCATCCACTGAGTTCATCCCAAGCTGTTTTCTCACTGTAGGAAGCATAAGATCCCATTTCAATACACACTTTCTATTTTAAAGCTTTTCTCTTTACACAAGGATTCTGAATTTCTGTTACTCCTACCCAGTTTCCATACTCTAAACAATACACTTCAGGGCCTCTCCATAAACAGAACCATGTCTGAAGAAGTGAGTTTTGTCACTATCAAATCCCATTTTTATACTTACAGATCATATCAATTGCAGAACCATCCATGACTTTGTGTCTAGTCTATCAAGTGGTGATAGACAGGCCGTCCCCAAGTCTCACAAATTCATTTGAGGACACCATATGCTGAGAGTAACAGAAAACCTATGTTTTATCAGACCAACTTACACAAGTAGAAAAAAGACAAACTTTCAAGCCTGCAATTTGGTTTTCAGATTTAAATCAACTTCATGTCTGCTTAAGCTCAGCATTGACTAGTAAAAAATGTTCCAAATTAAGCATAATAATGGGAATCAATTGCTGCAAGAAAAAAATGGCAGTTTGTCCACATCCTTCAGAATTGGTTGGTAGAAGGACTTTTGTTTTGTTTTGTTTTTTCCCTGTGGTTTTATCACAGATATCACATGGTTTAATACACTTTTCTGGATACAAAGGAGTCTGGATATGGTGACTTATAAGCAGAAGGGCTGTTTAGGTTCAGTCTAAAGATAATGTGGAAAAAAAAAGATTTAGAGCTATTCAGAATGGCACCAAACACTGAGTTAGGACTCTCAAGGGTGTGTTTCTTCTGCTACCAGCTGCTAGCACGAGTATCCCTATTGATCACCATTCATGCCACTAATCTCTGATGGATCACAGTAGGAAAGGAAGCCACTTGCAGTTCAGGAACCTCACTATAATCTTGCCTTGACTACAATCTTGCTCCACGTAGTCACCTTATTACAAAAATCATGCAGCTGTACTGTGAAGTCCAGTTTGTGCTGCCTTTCACAGAGGCAGCCAAGGTTCTGAGATGATGCATGTTTGGGCAAGCTCAAGACAGGTTTTGACTGTCTAACACATTGTAAATCTCTCCCACATTCTATGATTTTCATAGTGTGGATGGGAAATGGTCTCTAAGCAAGCTAACATGTGTTTCATGTTATGTTACAGCTCTGATAAATTACTAGCAGATAAGGGACATGAATAAGACCTCGAGAAAGGAGGTGATAGCAGCTGAATTTAGCTGTGCTTGCTTCTGGGGATTGAACTGTCACATTCTGGGATTCTCACCACTAACTTGGAGTCAAAAAAAAAAAAAAGGCCAGCCAAAGGGATTTCAACTGCAAACTTAAGAATGCCCTAAAAATTAACTCTTGGCATTTAAAAGCAGATTAAACTTGTAGATTTATTTCTTTGGCATTGTCCCTTTTAAGACACAGCCAGGCTGCTTCTTTAGCTCCAGCCTTCCCTCAAGTTCAATGGAAACATGATCTCTACAGTACAGAGCACTCATCCACCAATCTTGACAATTTTCAGTTCCTGACACCTAATTTGAGAGCTCAAGAAACTTGTTTTGACAGAAAAAGCCATCACATAACAAATATTTGTAGCCACAGTGCACAAACTACCTGCCTGCTAGAACCCTCCGTTTTGTTACAAGCCAGGATATTCTAATCTATGCATGATGGAAACAACAAACATACAGTGGAAATCATTAAAATGGGAGATTCATGATCCTATACTGGTTTCTTGCTGTTAATCACCCAGCAAATCAGCATCTCATATCATGCACAGTCCTACCTACCTGCAACAGAAGCTGTGGCACACGATATATGGCTGAGCAGAAGTAGTTGTGAGCTTGCTGTTGTGTGCATCAGTTCCTCTTTTATGAATTAGTGATTCAGCCAATAATTATTGAGCATAGTTATAATTCAAGTGGAAGATCACAATTTGCCAGAGTGAAAAAAAAATATATATATACTACAAAGTTGTCAATAGTTATGGGCACGAGTCCATAGTATCGACATTGCAATGGAAGCAAGAGTAAGGCAGCTTTTCTCCATGACATAACTGCCCTGACATCCAGTACCATTAACTTCCCACTCAACATTTTCATCTTACATGTGAGCATTCATACACAGGATACTCCAATCAAACTGTCTTATTCAATAACACTTTTAATCTCTAAGCATTGTTATTTTTCCCAAGCGTTCTCACATAGGGCTTTAGAGGAAAGCGTGGTGAAGTGGCATGAAAGTTTTACTACCTTTCTCTGAGACAGACTGTTACTTTACAGAGGGGAAAACAAAAACATTTATTACTCCTATTAATTTGTTTCTCTGAGACAGACTGTTACTTTACAGAGGAGAAAACAAAAACATTTACTCCTATTAATTTAGTTCTTTGGAAGCAAAACCTCAGGCACTTCACAAACATTAAGTAAACCTTCACATCCCAGAGGTCCACAGCTAAAAGATACAAACAAGTTCACTATTTAACTAAGGAGCAAAATGCCAATCACAGCAACATCCACCTGGCCTCTGCAACACGTGCTTGCATAGCTGGAAACCTTTGGCTTCCAAACCAGACATTGAGTCCCCATAGCAGCCCTCAGTTCCGCAGGGGTAACCTGTGATCAGGGTCACAGAGATTAAAAAAAGAGGCTGTTACTATAGGTACTTCACTCTACACAGCCAAATAGGAATATTCTGGGCACGCTCTCTCTTTGTGTATACACACAGGCATATTTAAGTAGTTCTTTCCATTTTTACACACATATCCACCTCATATTAATGACTTTCTGAAAGTGCTGACTGGTAGCCAACAAATGATCACTAATGGTTTAAGAACAGATGTGCCTAAAGGCCTCTATGCTACAGATCTGTAGATGAAAGAAACAGCAAACAAGAAAAAATTTGAATCTTGGCTTTCCTGACCCATGTCCCTTATTTTCCTGTTTCAATTTCAAAAGGCAAAAACTATTTCTCCTTCTTTCCATAACACACATCTTTGGTATTCTCTCTTTTTCTGGGTTCTGATGAACAGTGTTATGGAAACACATCATCCTGCAGAACGGAGGAGTCATCACCAACTTGCTGAACATCAGCTGCCTAGCAAAGGCATCTGATGGCTTCACCCAGGGACATATTGTCCAGGCAGTGCAAGATGTCCTGAGCGACCTCCGCCTCCTGCAGATGACCAGGAAGCCACTGAGGGCTGCTGAGTTCATGGCTTCTCTGGCCAGGCAGGACCCCGTGTACAAAGAGGAGGAAGAAACATTTCAGGTGACATTAAGAGCTATGTTAACTGGCTGTCTTTCACCATCCCCTGCCATGTCCTTGTCCAGGCACACTTGATCTAGAGACCTGCTAATTCTGCTGATAGGTTGGCACATTGCTATTTGAATGATGATATATGGCTCAACAGCACCAAATACCCATCTCCCTTATTTTGGGATGGTTGGCAACCCAGGCCAAGCAAATGGTCATTACTACAGGCAGCAATTCTGCACAGGCAACACCCCTGGCACGCTGCTTCACTGGGCCTGCTGCCTGCACCCAGCTCATCTGGAACAGGGTGGCTTTGACATGCACAGATAAATTACACAAGTGCCATTAGTACAATGCATTGGCCATCGTTCTTTTGGAGACAACATGTTCAGCAAACCTGGCTGCATTTTCTTGAGAAGGCAGAAAACTTGGGTGTGTGAGGTGTGCTGGGTGCTCTGCATATGGATCAAGTTTTAAGTCCTTACTTAAAATTATTTTAAACAAGAATTTTCTTCATCTTGGGGTTTTAAAAAAATCAGTTTCTGCCTCAAATTCCATCCCTCTCCCCACACTCAGGGCCATAAAATCCTTAAGGCAAAACCTCGTGTATTTGAGGTGGATTATATATATCTCATATGCATGAATCACCCTGCAAACAACTACTTTTTCCACATGCAGCTCAGTTATTTCACTCTTTC